TGTTCTTTCTTGCCTCATCAGCTTGTCTATCAGCCTGTAATTGACGATTGGCGGCAACATTAAGATCAAATTGAGATTTTTCTGATAAAGTCCCAATAGAAGATTTTGGACGCACACGTATTATAGCATCCGACATTATTGAAGGAGTTTTATTAAGAAAGCTCATACTGCTTTGTACACTTAAATTCGAATTAGCAGATTTATTACTCTGATTACTATCTTTATCAGAATCAGAGAAAAAACCATCGTCAGACCTAGCCTTCTCTTTATCAGATAAACTTGATGTATTAATTCGAGCTACGCGAGGCCTACTTGGTAACCCAGAAAAAGTTTTATTGCGTAAAAGCGAAGGTTGCGGTATAGTCGCGAGTTTAACTCCGTTTTTGACTCGCGGTTTGCGAGGCTTAGAAATGTTTGAGTCTCGTTCCTGTTTCTCCATCAGTACACCTTCTTTTTAAAAACCTTTCTACTGGTGATGGGAGAAGTAATTACAAGATACAAGTCACTCTCGTTATAGTAAATTCTCGATATAATATGAATTAATTAAAATCTTGATATAAAGTTAGGTCTATAGAAAAATTCTATCAATATAGTAAATTTACTAATAAACTCTTGATATAGTAAATTTTTAAAAAAAATTTATTAATGGAACGAACCACTTTACTATAACGAGTCTGACTTGTAATTACAGGTGGTATAAGACTTTGATTTTAACTTTAGAGTTTTTAATAAGTACTTTTAAGATAAATTTTCAGGGGTTTTGCGAAACTTAGAGTCAATTATTGAGCCAAAGTAAAATTTAAAAAGAAGAAAAACGAGTTTTGAAAAACGAATATCTGATATAATAATAGAAGGAATTTGGACTCTGCCGAGAAAAGTGAGAAAAGACTGGCGATTTGTCACTAGTGAATAGGGAAATTGACAATCGAATTAAAAAGGACGACTAAATTATATAAACGTGTGACAATGTAACACAACAAGGGATATTTTTTCTTGCAAGTAACTCTAGATATTTTGGTCAACTTAATGATAATTCCCCGGTGTAATTCTGCAGAGTCACATTGGTATATGCATATGTTTAAACCACAAAAAGAGAATGGTGTATCATTTATATAGGAATTCGAACAATATAAATAATTATAAAGTTGGGAAAGAAAAAATAATCGACCCCAACCTTTAGAGTTTGTTTTCTAATATAATGGAGTATATTATAGTTATTTAACTTTCGGCGTATCTTTCTCTGCTGAATAAAAAAAAATCAAAGCCTTGCATTCTTTGATAATGAGCCTTAATCACGTGTTACGTGTAACACAGCCACGAATAACTTTTACTTTTTCCTTTCTTGATCTTTTGCACGTGTAAATCTGGGAATATTCAAGATCATTGTAATACATAGCACTGTGTGTTTTATTTATACATTTCAATATTTGTGACAGGTCAACACGGCAAGTCAAAAATCAAAGCCATTTACACGTCATTTACGGTAATTTCTGGATATTTACGGCAAAGATAACGATTATACGTAGTGTACGTACGTACCATGTATATCAGATATTATCGTTATTTATCCCACTGTATATCAGATACATCTTTTATCACATATTGCTTCATCCAATTGTTCTCTTTTACAAAATAGTTTTAGCCCACACCATTAAGATAATATCTGTAAAGACGTTTATCCAAATTATGATGCAACGTATTCTGTTTCAAGGAAAATCTTTCAGAAATTTAATAATATCGATATTAGAGTAATTGGTGAATTCACTGTTATGTTTTTTTTTGCCTTTTAGCATATAATTTATAAAAAAAAAAATTATTTCTTTAAAATTAGGGTTAGGGTTTTTTTAGGTGCTGAATAGTTTTACTTAGTACACCAAACACGATTAATTTGACCGTTTTTGAGATAGAATTATACACCGGTGAATTTCACTTCCGGTGAGCGTTAAATTTTTTCAAACCAAAAAAAAAATTTATTTTATTCTCTTGCTTCATCAGCCTCTTGTTTTTTCATAGCATTTATTCCTATTAAAATAAAAGATTTTAATGTCACAACTTTCTAATAATTACAAAAAATAAAATAAAATTCTCAAACCTATCTTTCTTTTTTGACGGCTAACATTGTCAATATAACCACGCAATGCATCACGAGTTTGCATATTATTACTCTAATGCATTTACCTTCGTCTTTTAGAAATAGTACAATGAAAAATTAAATTTTTGAAAAATTTATTCAGAATAATAAAATATATTTAACCTGATACCAGCTATCTTTACTCAACCAAAATATGAATAATGTTTGAGGATCCATTCGAATTCTCAACGTAAATGTTATTTCGAAAATAAATAGGAGTTTAAAAAATCGAACTTGACAATTAAGTGAAAATTTAAGTGTCTGGCAGAGGTGCCGAAAAATCAATTAATTGCCATTTGCCACGTGGGAGTGATAAATCATTGTATGTGACAAATAAGAATTTACTAATTAATTGTATTATTAAATCCTTATTAGTCACTCAAATAATTCATCACTCAAATAATTGCAATTAATTGGCTGCGCCATCAATCAATTAATTGTCCCTCTCAATCGATAGTCCTGGTGTCTGGAGACTCCTATTTCATGAAATAACCTTTTTTGTTTGTAATAGTCAAAGTAGTAACGGTAATTGATAGTAAAAATGATTACATAAATAAGAGCTGTAAAAAAAATGAAATTTGACTAAAAAGTTTAATTCAAAAAAATACGTCACTTATTTCAAACT